AAGGACCCCAAGTTGAGAACCACTGCACTAGAGGATACCATTTTGCCTCGCCCCATGTATGAAGGTGTAGTACTCCCTGGGACTAGGAGTTTACCCACTCCAGGAGTGTGTGAAACCAAAATTCTGCCCTGACAGGTACGTAATCAATGGCAACTTTCTCAGACTTTCTGCTTCTCATCAGATTTTCAAAACAGTTTCTGTCTTCCAACAAATTCCAACTTAATGTTTGAGTTTTGTTTTTTTATTACTATGGTTACTTCCAAATGTTGAAAACGATAAATAATTTGATTCAATGGAGATCTGAAAGGATCCAGAGTGGATTAGTGGATTAGACTCTCACTGCTGCAGCCCTGAACTGCAGACAAACTTACTGCACTTTCCTGTCAGGGCCACCAGATGGTGCTACAGGCCACCTGTTTAATTAGAATGAATCAGTATCTCTGTGTCTGATGCTGCAGACTGGTACAAGATACCAGCACAGACACATCGGAGGACAGGAGAGGCTGCTGGGAGGATGAAAGGCAGAAGGAGGAGGAATGAAATCATGGAGGATGAAACTATTTCTATAAACCAGAACTGATGAATGAATGACTGTCTGCTGTCCATTGTTGTACATTAGTTTTAAAGAGCTGCAAACTTCCTGCATCTGGAAGTAACTTTCACTTTTAATTCATATGTAAAACTTCAAGGGGAATACTACAGTACCCATGAGCCTCAGCAGGTTGTTGCTATGGAGAAGACTCCGGCCGGAGCCTTTAAATGGTGCTCCTCTTACCGATCTTGATCTTAAATCAAAATTTAAATCATATTCAATATCACTGCGAACTTGAAGGTGTTTGGCTTCTCTTATGAATCAGTCCGCTGTGATTTCTTTTTTTTTTATTCACTTTTGGATATTCTACTTTATTAATTAATCTTATGAACCAAAATGAATAAAGTGTTAAAGATCAGTTGTTGGTCTTTTCTCCAGTGGACTCACAGAGAGAGAAAAAAGCTTTTTTCCCGTTTGAAGATTCAACAAAAAGAGAATTAAAGTTGCTTGTATGTGATGAAATGTTGTGTTAAATAACTCTAAATTCTGACAGCCATCACTGATATAATGTATAGAGTAGTTACTAATGTGGGTATCCGTTCCCACTTTATCCAATCAGGAGAGAGAACTCCACAAAGGGCAGTGTGGTGACAGCTAACTGCAAGAACAGACAGGAAGTTTGTTACAGCCCTGTTAATGTGATAAATCATCAGATAAAACTCGAGTCACCAGCCACACGTGAGTTAATTTTCAAATCTGGTGACATAATGACCGCAGCCGATAATCAATAATCAATCAAACTGCCAGAGAAGCGACGTGAATATTGTTTGGTGTTCAGTTCAGGTATGTTAAAGATCTGCACTAACCTGAGTGACGCATTAACAGACATCAAGAAAAGACTCACTGACCAAGTGATTTAACCGGAACCAGAAAAAAACATTACTGGTTGAATCAGAGGACGAACGGTCCAGATCAATAACTGATGACGTTCTGTTTTGGTATACAGTATTTGGGATAAAAGGAAAGATGAGACCAAAGCTGAAGTGATGAAGGTGTTGGACTTCTTCTGATCTTTACAGGCCTGCAATCGACCAGAAAGTCCAAACATTAAACATTTAACATTAAAAGATAAAAATGTCCAATAAAACACGTGATTCCACCAGACACACGGCTGTGACACGTTCCAGCTGTAACGTGGCCGCAGTGCGTTTCAGAAACGTCTCTCCGCTCTGCTCAGAGCAGATTGAGCTGACAGGAAGTCAAACACAGTAAGAGCATAAACATTTTAAAAATAAAAACCCCTGTGTAGACCCCTGAATGTACATACAAAAAGGAAACTAAGTAGCGTACTTACCCAATGTAGAAGCACATAAATTAAGGAATTATAGTGTCCAAATTAACCAAATCTGAGAATGTAAACAAACTCTGGCAGGAAAAAACGCTTCTGAAACACTCCTGGGTGGCGTTCACAGCACATTGCGGATGTGTCCAGTTGAATTTGGGCGTAAGTCTGTCCATAGAAAAGTTAAACAAATGCGGTATTTGTAGGATGTACCAGAGTAACAGAACAGGTATGATTTCTTATTTCCTGTTTTTCAGAACATTCAGTATAACACACATTGAAACGTTGGAACTAAGTGCCGACTGGTCTTCTGGATATCCTTCTTAAATTTCCAAAGATAACAAATCTGTCAGATTGAATTCTGGAAACTTTTGGGTGTCTACAAATGTGCATAAAATGATTTGCAAGAAGTTTTTTATGGAACGCTGCAGCTGTAAAAACACGGAGGAGATGATAGAGAGAAACTGAAGTTACATTTTTTGGAACATTTATATAGAAACATACAGATGAGGCGTTCACTGTCAGGGCCAGCACAATTGTAAACTGCCGTATCAGAGCTAACCTCTGAGGGTGAAGAAATCATTAGCTTGTTGCACCATCCGGTTTTATAAAACCCTGCTCCTCAAAATCAGATCTTGCTAGCTAGCTTGGTGGGCTATTTTGAATGAATAGCACCAGCTTTTATTGTTACCAGTTAATCCAGTAACTCACCATCTAACCTCAGCCGGTCGCTGCGTCACCAAACCTCCAGACAAACCAGCTTCGCGAGGACACATAAATGAATTCTGGTGTGGGACGTGACGTGAACTGTTAGAAGAAGAGCTGTCTTTTCAGTGTGAATACCAAAGGAGTCTTTTAATGTCAGAGCTGAATCTGATCCAGATCCAGGACGTTTGGAGAGAGACCACCTGACTCCTCACTCCAAACCCATGAGAGGAGGAGGTGAAGAAGGAGTTCAAATCTCTCAGTTTTTGTGGACTTGGCTGTCCAGGTAAAGTGCAGCGGCAGCGTGAGTCGTTCTCCGGCCATAGAAACCGGGTTTGGTCCAACCGAATCTGGCAGGGAGTTGACGGTTAGTTGCTGCCGGTCTGCAGAGTGAGTTCGAGGTCGGCACCAAACAGCTCCTTGTAAAGAGGAGGGAAGTGTGTCCCAACGATGTCGGGGTAAACTGCTCTGAATGCTGACAGCTTCTCTGTGTGCCGACTGCACAGTGAACGCAGCGCAGACACCTTACATCTGAGCTGAGGAGAGGAAAAGGAGTGGAGGGGAGAGGAGACAATATAAGGAAACAAGGAGTTAGAGTTGTAGATTTTGTAGTTCAGCATTTTGCCACAAGAGGGCAGTGTGAGACAGAGAGCTTGTAATTAACAGACATTAATTTATGATCCATATCACTGGATTTATTTAGAACTCAATATACCTCATTATTAATGTGGTGGTGAAACATTCATAAAAATATATATTTGTACCAAACTTCTAACAGTACAAACATTTTACTAAAAGTAACAAACGGTAAAACACTGAACCTGTTTGTTTCTATGAGTAACGGACCTGAACGGAACAGTTGGGGGTTTCTGCAGGTTTCAACAGGTTAAGACCATTATGAGTGTAGTTTAAGGCCAGTTTTAGGTCCATGCATAGAGAAATAAAAACCCCATAAGATATGTACTGGTATTGGGTCCATGTCAGTTTCATTTTGTTGTCTATGAGATTTAAAACATTAATATATCAGCAAACAGCTAT